AACCGGCGGGATGGGGGGGAACTTACCTCCTCCTGCTGCTTCCTGTGTGGAGGTCCCTCCCCCCCTCGCGAGTATCGTGGGTCCCGCCCCCTTGTCTAGTATAAATCCTGTTATATATTCTTTCCCATCTTTTAACAAATACACTTTCATCTTTCCCTTGAAGAAGTAAGGTTAGCTTATCCATTTCTGCTACTTCCATCAACCTAGTTAGTGTTTCCTGTCTTGTTGGGTCTCTATCTTGTTTCCTGTATTTGGGCATTAATATTCTTGCAGTAGTCATTATATATGTTAACAAATATTTGTCATTTAATTTATAATCCTCCGGTATCATATTCAATAGGAGCTGCGGTGGCTCAAGTGGTTAAGACGCTGAACTGCAGGCTGTAGAAGGTCAGTAGTTCAGCAGTTCGAGACCCGAGTGTGCCGCATGATGGAGTGAGCTCCCGTCTCTAGTTCCAGCTCCTGCCAACCTAGCAGTTCGAAAGCAGGAAATTGTAAGTAGATAAATAGGTACCACTTCAGTGGGAAGGTAACAGCATTCCGTGCACCTTGGTGTTTAGTCATGCCGGCCACATGACTACGGAAACGTCTTCGGACAGCGCTGGCTCTTCGGCTTTGAAACGGAGATGAGCACCGCAACCCTAGAGTCGGATTCGACTGGCTTTCAAGCAAGGGAGACCTTGACCTTTACCTATCATATTCAATAGAGCTATTTCAAATACCAATACAATTCCAAGTCAGTATGCTGCCCTTGACATTCTTTGAAGTGTCACTCGAGGAATGGGGCTATGGCAGTCACAGGGCCCCGCTTTGTGTTGTAAAGACTCGGCTGGACTCGGGGCCCAGTCAGCACCTGGTATCCTTGGGAGCTGTCCCCAGCCCTTCCTCTTGCTAGAACTGAGCTTTGCACTTTGTTGAATCAACACCTGCTGTCCAGGGAGCTCTCTCCAGGTGCTGATTCTGAGCAGCTGCCTAAAACCAAGCAAGACTTGACTTCCACATCTCACTGCCGGTCACTCTCCACCCTGGGTCTCTTGCGTATCCTTGGTGTCGTGGTTAAGAGCACGGACTCTAATCTGGGAGAACCGGGTTTGATCCTTCACTCCTCTACATGTAGCTGCTGGAGTGACTTTGGGTCAGTCATAAGTTCTTTCAGAGCTGTTCTCTCAAGGGCAGTTCTCAAGAGAGCTCCTTTCAGCCCCACCTACCTCACAGTCACAGCGTGGCTGTTGTGCGGAGGGGAAGGGAGAGTGTAAGCCACTCTGAGACGCCTTCAGGTAGTGAAGGGCAGGGTATAAACCCAATCTCTTCTTCCACATGCAGCTGCTGGTGTGACCTTGGGTCAATCACAAATTCTCTTAGAGCTCTCTCAGCCCCACCTACCGCACAGGGTGTCTGTTGTGAGGAGTGGAAAGGAAAGGAGATTGTAAGCCGCTCTGAAACTCCTTCAGGTAGTGAAGGGAGGGGTATAAATTCAATCTCTTCTTCTTCCACATGCAGCTGACCTTGGGTCAGTCATAAGCTCTCTCAGAGCTGTTCTGTCAAGGCCAGTTCTCGAGAGAGCACTCTCAGCCCCACTTTCCTTACAGGCAATGCTCCCTCTAAGCTGTGGAGTCTTGTGAGCAAAAATTCTGCTTTGCGAGCCACTGGCATTAAAGTTCTGCGTGAGCGATTTGGCTACTTGCATAAATTAGTTTGCTCTAGAGCCAGCCATCCTGTGCTAAGACAAAAATGTGTGAGCCTGAGGCTAAAAGACTGTAAGCTAGCTCACGCTAACTCAGCTTAGAGGGAACACTGCTCCCAGGGTGCCTGTTGTGAGGAGGGGAAGGGAAAGGAGGCTGTAAACCAGGGAAGGAAAGGAGCCAGTTTGGTGTAGTGGTTAAGTGTGCGGACTCTAATCTGGGAGAACCGGACTTGATTCCCCACTCCTCCACTTGCACCTGGCTGGATGACCTTGGGCAAGTCATAACTCTGGCACAGCTGTCCTTGAAAAAGAGCAGTTTCTGTCAAGAGTTCTCTCAGCCCCACCTACTTCACAGGGGTGTCTGTTGTGGGGAGGGGAAGGGAAAGGAGTTTGTAAGCCGCTCTGAGACACCTTTGGGTGGTGAAGGGCAGGGTATAAATCCAATCTCTTCTCTTCTTCTTCTCTGAGATTCCTTCGGGTAGTGAAGGGTGGGGTAGAAATCCAATCTCCTCCTCCTCCAATCTATATATCTAATAGCGAACTTGCCCAGGGGGGGAGGGGGGGGGGGGGGAGGCAAGGGGGGGAAGGCAAGGGGGTTGGAGGAGAGGGGGGAACCAGCAGGATGGGGGGGTACTTACCTCCTCCTGCTGCTTCCTCCTCTGCCTCCCTCCCCCCCCCGCGAGTATCACGGGCAATGTTCCCTCTAAGCCGTGGAGTCTTGTGAGCAAAAATTCTGTTGAATGAGCTACTGGCATTAAAGTTGTGAGCAAGCGATTTGGCTACTGCAAAAATTAGTTGGCTCTGGAGCCACCCTTCCTGAGCGAAGACAAAAATATGTGAGCCAGAGGCTAAAAAACTGTGAGCTAGCTCACACTAACTCAGCTTAGAGGGAACACTGATCACGGGTCCCCCCTTGTCTATATACTAATAGCCAAGAGGCCCTCTCTGTGTGGATAGGGGGCACAGAGATTTTCCTGCACACTTGGGGCAGTCCCCAGGAGTGCAGAAAAATCTGAAAAGTTTAATGCGCAGAGAACGCTCTGGCAACTGTCTCGCCGCCACTACCACCACTGGGGAGGGGGAGGGGGAGAAGGCTTGGCGGCCTGCCTGCTGGACTCACCTGCTGCCACTTCTCTTGCTTCAATATGCACATTACATTGGGCGTTCTAAACATCGACTGAAAGGCTTTGGACTGGATCCTCCCCTTTTGTCTGGCTTCTCCTGCTTCTGCAGGGAATAGTCCCCCCCCCCCGCGCGCGTGAGTATCGCAGGTCCCACTTCTTGTTCTTCTAACTGATCTACTTCTCCTGATTCTTCTCTGCCAGATTGGAAAAGGACTGCAAAGTGGTACGGAGCTGTGCCTCAATGTCATTTCCTGTGGGAACATTTAGGTTTTTGTCCACACTTGGGTTGCTGACTCACTGCATCTCCCCATGGGTCAGAACAGCACACACATGTATACCGCTGCAGAACAGATTAGCATTGAGAGACTAACGGTGGCTTCCTGTCATGTGGGTACACAGCTGTAGGAACATGCCCACCACTATCAAAAATGTAATGGAATGCGCACAAAGTTCATGCGATTCCTTACACGGATCCGCAGGCTCTATTCCGACCTGGTCAAGAACTGACAGGGTGTTTGGGCAAAGCTCAGGGAAGCGGACCCAAGAGACATCATCGACAGGGAGCAGAGGGTGAAGGCCAAGAAAGGGACGCTAGGAGCAGATTGTGGCTGAGAGCTGGTCAGAGCCAAGCCCTGGAGGACCTGGGAATGTTGTGGGAGTGGATCCATCCAGCTGAGTCCTTATATGGGGATTCAAGATTTCAGTCCAGTAGCATCTGAAAGGCCAACAAGATTTCCAGGGTATGTCCTTTCAAGTGTCAAACCTCTCTCTCTCAGACCAATCTTGTTGGTCTCTAAAGTTGCTACAGGATTCGAATTGTGCTCTTCTCTTGCTGACCGACGTGGCTGCCCCCTTGAACTACCTTGAGGAGTCAGACTCTTTGCTGGAAAGGCCCCGAGCTGCTGCTGCTCCCTCACATGGAGCCTAGTAAACGGGGCCTTCCTTCTCAAAGAGAGCAACCAGGCTCCTCCTTCCAACTTCGCCCATTTCCAGAAGAAATGGTGGGGAATCCGTAACGCAGCGGCCTTTTCCTTGACTCCCGCGCCACTTACAAGAGCAAATTTGTCACCATTTGCGAGAACCTGTTTGAGTACGGCCTGAAGCAGCACGAGAAGCGGAAGGCTGAGGTGGCACTCTTCTACGAGTGCCTCAACGAAGCTCTGGAAGACAACCGCGAGCAGGGGAACCAGATCATGGCCGACTTCGAAGAGAAGCGCCTCCTGGTACGTGGCGGACCGTTCCCTTCCAGTGTACCCCCCCCTTTTACATGTTTATCACATTTATATCCCGCTTTTCCTTGCAGTCCAAAGCAGCTTACAAGAGTGGAAAACATTTTCAGTCAAGACCTAAAACAAAAATAGCAGACACCAAAATCAGCCCCTTCTGTTCAATCCATCTCGAAAACCCTTTAAACAGGCAGGCCTTGCAAGGCCTCCTGAAGATCTCCAGGGAGGGGGATCCCCCTCACCTCTTCCACGGAACTGGAGCCATGATAGAAAAGGCCCCGGTCTGGTCAATGTCAGGTCACCCAAAGTGGTAGGATAGCCAACAGGTGGCTGCCTGACAGTTGTCGTTTACACAGGGACATATGAATCTGCCTTCTGCTGTCTCAGACCCTGGGTCCATCAGAGTCCATATTGTTTACCCAGACCAGCAGTGGCTCTCCAAGGTCTCAGGCAGAGGTCTTTCCCATCACCTCCTGCCTGTTCCCTTTAACTGGAGATGCCAGGGATTGAACCTGGGACCTTCTGCATGACAAGCAGATGCTCTGCCACTGAGCCACAGCCCCTCTTTACAGCTCTCCAGGGTCTCAGGTGGAGGTCTTTCCCATCACCTCCTGCCTGGTCCTTCTCCCTCTGAGGCGGAGGACATCTCCATGGGTTATTCCCACCGTGCCAATAGGGAGGCAGGAAGTAGATTTTTTCCCTTCCTGTTGGCGCCCTCAGAATATCCCCTCCAGTTCTGTTCCTGCCTCATAGGGAGAAGCAGCACAACTTGGCTAGTGCTAGCTAGTGTTAGAAATTATTACGTCTATTTTCCCTTTTTTCAGCCTGATTGCCCTTATTTCTTCTTTCCTTTCTAATCTCTATCTTCTAACCTCTCTTACCCTTTACTCCTTCTGCTCCGCTCTCGGAGTGAAGCGAAAGAGGGGTCCGTTGACCCGAAGAGGCTGCGCAGCCACAATGTCGACCAAAGAGCTTCCCGAGGCCTTCTCCTCAAGCGACGAGGGAGACATGCGCACCATAGTGGCGACGCACCGGGATCACTCTGGGACCGATCAACCTTCGCGGTCTGATCGCGCGTCCCCAACGACGGCTGCGGGAGTCTCAGCGGCGGCGCGCAGCACCCAGAAACGCTGCTTGCAGCCAGATTCGGATGAGCCCGCCATTTTCTCGCCGCGTCCTCGGACGGGCGGCGGCCATCTTGGGGACCCAGGCTCGGGCCTTGGATCCCTATCGGGGGTGCCTGAGGGAGAGATGGAGTCAGCGTCGGAAGTCGGTGACCTTCAGGGCGCACAAGGCGGTAAGCCCCCGAACAACGCGGTACTGATAGATCCCACAGAGTTGATGGATTTCATTAGACGATCCGTGCAGCTGGAGGTCTCAAAGGTTCACAGGTCTGAAGTAGTAAAACAGCAGGAGGTTCCTATCTCTGACTGTCATGCACCTGTGCCGTCTGGATGGCCCACAAAGGCAGCAAAAAAGGCCCCCCCTCGCCCCCCCTACCAGCTGGGGACATCCACATACCACCAATGGAGGGAGGAATTAGAGTCCACCACCTCCTCCATTGAGGAGAAAGAGGAAGGGGAATTTCTGTCAGAAGATGAGTCTGAGGAATTAAAACTTCCTGAGCAGGCTTCCAGATTTTTTAAATCAGAGGATTATCAATACCTTCTAACCAAGGCTGTAAAAGCTCTTGAATTGCATGACGTGCCTGCCTCTGAATACCAGAAAGCAGCCAAGGCCAAAATTAGGTCCAAATCTGGCGGCAATAGTGAATTTTTTCCACCAGAGGAGCCTACTGAAAAGGTGTTCCCATTCCCTGAGTATTTTGAACGACAATTAAGATCTGGTTGGGATAAACCTGTGACAAACAAACAGTTTCCTTCGTTTACTAAAAAATTATATGCAATGCCTAACTATGCAGATGAGTTGTTGCAGGTTTCCCCAGTAGACGCACCAGTGGCAGCGCTCCAAACGGCGGGTCTGGTGTCAGAAGACGGACTGGGCAATATCAGAGAGGCTTCTGACAAGAAATTGGAGGCTACGCTTTGACGCGTCCACGAGTCCATCGCCATGATGGTGCGGGCAGCGTCTACGGCTTCGATCGCAGCTAGAGCTTCCATAGTATGGCTGCGAAAACTATTGCAACTAGTGCCAGACAATAACAGAGCTCTGCTGGAAGGTATTTCCCGTACGCTTAAATCCGACTCTTTCACTACCCTGGATATCATCTCCTTCGCTTCAAGAGGCTTGGCTTCGACGGCAGTTGCCAGGAGAATGCTCTGGCTGCGGGCCTGGCAGGCAGACTCTCTATCTAAGTCTATTGTCACCGCATATCCATTCCAGGGTGACAGGTTGTTTGGTGAGACGCTCGACAGCATTCTCATTGAAACAAAAGATAAAAAGAAAGCTATGCCTCGTTCCTTGAGAAATGTGGATAGACGCAATCAGCAGTCCTTTCGGTCACACCATACTCTGCCGCGGTTTCGTCAGGACATCAAGAAGACCTCCTGGGACTCGTCTAGACAAACTGGTAGACGAGGATCCTTCAACCCCCGCTTCCATAGATCGCAGTTCAACAGGAGCGACAGAGGTGCAAGGGATTCCAAGGCAAAGCAAAATTGACTATGCAGAGATCCCCGTGGGGGCACGACTTCTACACTTTACAAGAACTTGGATAGAAGCACAAGCGGATGCTTGGGCAGTAGAAGTAGTGTCTCAGGGCTATTCAATAGAATTTGTACATCAACCACCAGAGAGGTTTCTTCAGTCCCCAGCAAGCAAATCATTAAACAAAAGGTCCATTGTCAACAAGGCTCTTCAACATCTATTAAACATCAGAGCCATAGAACCTGTGCCCTTCAACGAACAAGGACGAGGAGTATACTCCATCCTTTTCATGGTGCCCAAGAAAAATGGGGACTGGAGGGCAGTCCTGGACTTAAAATTTTTAAACAAATTCATACGCCCTCGACATTTTCGAATGGAAACGCTAAAATCGATAGCGGATTCGTTGTCCCCCAACGAGTTTCTCACGTCCATAGACTTGACAGAGGCATACCTGCATGTGCCGATACATCCTGCACACAAGAAATACCTCTGTTTCTGCATCTGTGGACAACATTTCCAATACCGGGCGCTTCCATTCGGCCTATCAACAGCTCCCCGCCTCTTCACCAAGTTGCTCATAAACCCGGTGAGTCACCTCAGGTCACAAGGGATACACGTTCATCCATACCTCGACGACCTGTTGGTCCGGGCGAACTCACATCAGGAATCTATCTTCAACACCCAGAAGACGCTTCAATGTCTACAAGATCATGGATTCTTGATAAACTGGGAGAAAAGTTGCCTAACACCAAGTCAACAAGTGGAACACCTCGGGGCACAGATCGATACGACACGGACCGCCTTATTTCTACCTGCATCCAAAGCGCGAAAGATCAAATCCAGCGTGACGAGAGTATTCAACAGCAGATCCACCCCATTGATGGAATTGGCCAGTCTCTTGGGCCTCATGATTGCCAGCATAGAGATGATACAATGGGGCCGCATACATGCAAGACCTCTGCAAATGTTCTTACGTCCTCATCAGCTGAACATCATAGAAAGAAAGGTGATCAACCTGCAGGTATCATTCCAGGTGAAACAAAGCCTGAGATGGTGGTCAGATCTAAACAACCTGATGTCAGGAAAGCTGTATTATGTAAGTCAATTCATGGAACTGTTCTCCGATGCCAGTCTACAGGGCTGGGGAGCGACCCTCGAAGGGGTACCAGTACAAGGGGCGTGGACACCGGCAGAGAAAACACTCCCGATCAACCTGTTGGAGATGAGAGCAATCCGCCTAGCTCTGCTTCACTTCACACCACAGCTACGGGGACAGCACGTCCTGGTGAGAACAGACAATATTGCGGCGAAGGCTCACCTCAACAAGCAGGGAGGTTCCCGATCCTGTCGTCTACACAAGGAATCCCTGAAGATCTTAACGTGGGCAGAGAAGAACATCGCGTCTCTGCGAGCAGAGCACATAAGAGGCATCGAGAATGTTCAAGCGGATTGGCTAAGCAGACAGGTGTTACAAGAAGGAGAGTGGGCTCTGAGTGCAGATCTCTTCGCCAAGATAGTGGATCGATTCGGCCAGCCGGTACTGGCTCTGTTTGCATCACCCAACAACCACAAACTACCAAGATTCTATACCAGATACTTCCACCAGAACGCGGAAGCGACAGATGCGCTGACCACGAGATGGCCCCCGGGTCTGTTATACGCATTTCCACCGTTCATTCTGATAGCCAGAACACTTCGCAGAATCAAGGATTGCAAGGCGGAGGTCATCCTAGTGGCTCCTCACTGGGCGAGACGTCCGTGGTTCTCGACATTACAGAAAATGTCCATCTTACCACCAATGGTCTTACCGGTGTCTCCAGATATGATCTACCAGGGTCCGGTCTGGCACCCAGACCCAGCATGGCTGTCTTTGACCGCGTGGAGATTGAGCGGGAAAGTTTGACAAAACTAGGATTCTCCAAACAGGTCATGGACACTATCATGGCGTCCAGACGGCAATCCACGACACGCATCTACAATACTACCTGGAAGGCGTACGTTCGTTGGTGCCGGCGTAAGAAGATCAACCCACTATCTCCATCGGTACCTGATTTACTAGCGTTTCTGCAGGACGGTTTGGACACTGGACTGGTAGCTTCCACCTTACGCAGACAGCTGGCGGCAATCGCGACAGTAATTCCCACTCTAGAGGGCATTCCTTTGTCTAAGCACCCCCAAGTTCAACGGTTCCTACAAGGGGCGGTCGCCATATCTCCTCCACAGATACATCGTTTCCCCACATGGAGGTTGAATGTGGTTTTGGACGCGTTAATGAAACCACCTTTTGAACCACTCAGAGAGGTCGGTCTTAGATGGTTACGAATGAAGACACTCTTCCTTGTCGCAATCACGTCAGCAAGAAGAGTGTCGGAGATCGGTGCTTTATCCATGAAACCGTCTCATTGCATGTTCCACAAGGACAAGGTGGTGCTTATTACAAATTCCACATTTCGGCCAAAGGTAGATTCTCGATATCACCGTTCTCAGGAGTTGTGTCTACGGACATTCTGTCCTCATCCTCAACACCCTAAAGAACGTCTCTGGCACACTCTAGACGTTAAGAGAGCACTAAAGATCTATATCAAAAGAACTGAGCCTTGGAGAAAATCTGATTCCTTGTTCATAGGTATTTCTCCACCCCGTAAGGGCGAAAAGTTGGCTAAATCTACCATCAGCTCGATTCTAAAGTCTTGCATCGTGGAGGCATATAAGGCGGCGGGTCGCAATCCTCCCAAAGGCATCACAGCACACTCTCTACGGAGTGCGGCTACTAATGCCGCACTGATCAACAGGGCATCAGTGGAAGAAGTATGCAAGGCCGCAACGTGGTCGTCTATTTCGACGTTCACAAGACATTATAAGATCCACACCATAGCGTCTGCGGAAGCAGCTTTCGGAAGAAGAGTACTTCAGCACGCAATTTCCCTGGAAGACGATGATGACCCACCCGAATAGGGGACACTGCTCGGGGAGGTCCCATGGAGATGTCCTCCGCCTCAGAGGGAGAACGACCATTGGACACTTACCGTGAGTGGTCCTTCTCCTCTGAGGTCAGGAGAACATCTCGGCCCTCCCACTGTCATCTTCTTCTATGGTTTTTCTTCCTTTGTGCTGATCTCTCTATCTCACCTCTTTTTAAGGGGGAGTGTTGAGTTAATACAGTTACAGTTCATAGTTAATGTTATAGGGCAAAGTTTTATGGTTTCAGGCTGTTCATCAAACTGCTTTCGGAGTCCCAGAACTGGAGGGGATATTCCGAGGGCGCCAACAGGAAGGGAAAAAATCTACTTCCTGCCTCCCTATTGGCACGGTGGGAATAACCCATGGAGATGTCCTCCTGTCCTCAGAGGAGAAGGACCACTCACGGTAAGTGTCCAATGGTCGTTTTAAGTGGAGATGCCGGGGATTGAACCTGGGACCTTCTGCCTGCCAAGCAGAGGTTCTACCACTGAGCCACAGCCCCTCTTTACAGCTCTCCAGGGTCTCAGGTGGAGGGCTTTCCCATCACCTCCTGCCTGGTTCTTTTAACTGGAGATGCCGGGGATTGAACCTGGGACCTTCTGCATGCCAAGCAGATGCTCTACCACTGAGCCACAGCCCCCTCTTTACAGCTCTCTAGGGTCTCAGGTGGAGGTCTTCCCCATCACCTCCTGCCTGGTCCTTTTTAACTGGAGATGCCTCTGGGGATTGAACCTGGGACCTTCTGCATGCCAAGCAGAGGCTCCTCCACTGAGCCACAGCCCCCTCTTTACAGCTCTCCAAGGTCTCAGGCAGAGGTCTTCTCCATCACCTCCTGCCTGGTCCTTTTTAGCTGGAAATACCAGGGATTGAACCGGGGACCTTCTGCGTGCCAAGCAGATGCTCTTCCACTGAGCCACAGCTCCTCTTTACAGCTCTCCAGGGTCCCAGGCGGAGGTCTGTCCCATCATCTGCCTGATCCTTTTTAACTGGAGATGCCAGGGATTGAACCAGGGACCTTCTGCATCCCAAGCAGAGGCTCTGCCACTGAGCCACGCCCCCGGCCCTTCAGATTGCACTCCTGGTCCACTCCGCTGTCCTGCTCTCTGTATCCGAAGCTAAGCCTTAGGGTTGGCCGCCTTTATTGTGATCTTCCGCTTGCATACTAGACTATTAAAAGTTGCCAATATTTTCTTGGGCCTGCTTTTAAACGTTGCCCCAGTACTTGCCCGTGTGACATGGTGCGTGCTCAGTGGCTCGTCTAGACTCAGCCTTTGGGCTCTACAGGTGCTCTTTTAGCACACCAGAGATCTGTCGCCTGGGCAGGCTTTACACCCACATATGAGCATTGACAGCTGCCTGGTTTAAATAAGTTGATTGGGTGCATACATAGTGGCACTGATGAGCGATTCTGCCCTATCAGCACCGCTGCTTCGAAAACAAGACTTACGACCACCAACAAGGGGGAGTTCTCGTTCTGTTGTTAACCAGATAGCCGATAACCCCTCACTATCTTGCTGTGCCCCACAGGCGCTGGACGCGATTCAGACCGCCAGCGAGACCGAGGTTTTGGAGGCCAGGCTCCAGGAGTACAACGACGGCATCACGAAGCTCTCCGAAACACTGATGACTATGGAGATGCAGCTGGTAGACCAGTTGGAGGTGAGGCCGAGCCGGTCCGATAGGGCAATTTTGTGTCTGTCTGGACCAAGGACAATCCCTCTCTCGTTCTCAGGCACTGAACTCCCAGCCACCTGGGGCCCTTGGGGGTCTCACTGGCTGGTCCCGGTCCTTTGTTGAGGCTTTTTAGCTTCTGGGTTCCCTTTGAGGATGGAAGAAGAAGAAGAGATTGGATTTATACCCCGCCCTTCACTACCCAAAGGAGTCTCAGAGCGGCTTACAAACTCCTTTCCCTCCCCCTCCCCACAACAGGCACCCTGTGAGGTAGGTGGGGCTCAGAGAGCTCTTGACAGAAACTGCTCTTTTTCAAGGACAGCTGTGCCAGAACTATGGCTTGCCCAAGATCATCCAGCAGGTGCAAGTGGAGGAGTGGGGAATAAAACCCGGTTCTCCCAGATTAGAGTCTGCATACTTAACCTCCTGACACAGCAGATTAAAAAACATCTCTGCATTTATTCAGATAATGAAGAGTGTTTGCTAGGCAAGAATCACTCTCAAATAACGACAGTAGCAAAAAACAACAACACTATACTTGTGCTGGGCAGAGGCTGAGCCTGAAACATTAAATACTTGCTGGCTGATCCAACATGGCTTCTCTTACGTTCTTATGCCTGGAGCAGTGGTGCTCTGTCTCCTTGGTGCTTGGGGGGGGCACAGTGGGAGGGCTTCTGGAGTTCTGGCCCCACTGCTGGTGGACCTCCTGATGGCACCTGGTATTTTTGGCTACTGTGTGACACAGAGTGTTGGGCTGGATGGGCCACTAGCCTGATCCAAGATGACTTCTCTTACGTTCTTATGTGTGAGGCAGTGGTGCTCTGTATCCTTGGTGCTTGGGGGGCCACAGCGGGAGGGCTTCTGGAGTTCTGGCCCCACTGGTGGACCTCCTGATGGCACCTGGGTTTTGGCCACCGTGTGAGACAGAGTGTCGGACTGGATGGGACATTGGCCTGATCCAACATGGCTTCTCTTATGTTCTTACGTTCCCTCTCTGGGGTAATTTTACTTTCTCACCTGAAGGCTTAAGAGAGAGAGTCCACTCCAACAGAACAGTCTACGACATTCTGGCTGGAAGTCATAGAGGCCTCAGCCTCTGTCTTCTCTGATATGGCTGCTGCCCTGTTAGGTAGCCACCTTGGACTGTTCCAGCGTCTCCTTTTTGTCCGCCCTCATGGCTCCCTTTAGCCAATCAGGGCATAATTAGGTTAATCTCTGTTGTTAGCAGGCAACCAGATATAAGCCTCTTTTGCCAGCTTGTCAAGACCGCCAGGTGCTTTTAATTAATGCCCAGCCCAAACAGGCTGCAACTAACCTGTCAAAACTTACAGCTTGATCACAACTAACGACAGCCTTGAGATCCATAAGTTCTAATCCTTACAGTGTCCTCTCCTGGGGACACACTTTGTAGGGAGTGTTTTCAGGACTCAAGCAGGACACACCCAGTGCTTCCTTAGATAGTGTGATGTCACAGTTAGAGTGTCAGACATAGAGATGTGAAGGCCCAGAAAAAAACCGGAAAAATTTGGGGAAAAAACTGTTTTTGCCCTGAAGCACTGAAGCCTTTTTTTGTTTTTTGGAACAATTGGAAAAAATTGAAAAAAGAAAAGAAAATAAAAAAATTGATTACGGAACGTTTTATTTTAACACGATGAATAAACTATTTTAAGACAAGGTGTTCAAATATTTTCCAAATAATTTCTAAAAAATATGTATGGTCTCAGATTGATCTAATTTCTGTGCATTAAGGACAAACAAGTCCTAGGTTACCAACTGACCTCTCCAATGCAAGAACAAGATGCATTTCTTCCTTTAGGAGGTGCTGTTGTCACAAGAAAAGAAAAAGGTTTCAGTTTTGTTTTTGCATGTGGGTGGGGTTTCTGTTTGTAATAATTGCTTGGATGCACTATATTTTTAATATGGTAGTTGTGATAATTTCATGCCAAGTAAAAATGTCCATAGTCATATTTTATGTTCCTAAAGTAACAGAATAACTTTCAATCTGGAAGAGAGAAAAAAAGTGCTAATATAGCATTTTTTTCCCAATTTTTCCGAAAATATCAGTTTCCCCCCGAAAAAAACTGGTTTTTCCCCCTAGCTTCAAAATTTCCAGAAATGTTACATCTCTAGTCAGAGAAGGATCTGGGCAAACCAGGTTCGAATCCCCACACCGTCATGGAAGCTCACTGGGTGACCTTGCGCCAGGCACACGCACTCCACCTCGCAGAGTTGTTGTGAGGATAAAATGGGAGGGGAATTACAGATGCCACCTTAGATCCCCATCGGGGAGAGAGGTGGGCTAAAAATAAATAAATCATAGAGGAAGATCAGTCACAATTTTGCATGGCACTGATACTGCTGGACTGGCTTTGGACCATCGACAGGACAATATCACCCCAGTGAAAGGATTGATACCATCTTCAGAGACCACCTTGTTTGTATGGAGCACTTTATTCTGTTTTTGTTGTGACTTATAGTTTTACTGTTTTATACTGTTTTTATGCACGGGCTTGTGCCCCCATGTAAGCTGCCCTGAGCCCGTTCGTGGGGAGGGCGGGGTAAAAATGTTAATAATAAATAAATCCCAGAGTGCTGGCGCCACAAGGGAGAACGCCCTTCCCCAGTCCAAGAGCAAGACTGAGCCCAGAAGCACCTTAAAGGCTAACAAGATTGTCCTGACCAACAGCCCTGAGCTGGGTAGCCTGGGTAGATCTCAGGAGCGAATACCAGGGCCGGGAGGCAGAGGCAGGCAATATCAAGCCCGCTCTCTGAAATGTCCTCGCCTGCTTGCAGGGTGGGCGATTCATAAATGTAATGAAATAAATAGCCCCACGAGGGGTCGGCTGATGTCATCATGGCTTCCAGGCACGCAGCCACACACACGCATATGCAATACTCACTAAAAAGGGTAAAAAAAAGAGCTTGTCCTGTCCAATAAGCTTTTGAGAATCAAAGCTGCCTTCATCAGGTCACTTTCTCCCTTTTGTCAAATATCTGATGAAGGGAGCTTTGACTCTCGAATGCTTCTGTCCTGGGAATCTTATTGGTCTCTATATAAATGTTATTTTAAATTTTTTAAGGGATACAGAAAGAAAAAAGGAATGGGGGGGGGGATAGGGAATATAATTAGCAAAAACATAATGTAAGGGCAAACTTGACAGATACTGAGGACGTTATTTTATCAGAATACATGTGTATATATAAAAAGGCATACGGCATAATAGTTTAACAGATATATAACATGATCAGTGTTCCCTCTAAGCTGAGTCAGTGTGAGCCAGCTCAGGTTTTTTTTAGCCTCCGGCTCACACCTTTTTCTCTTAGCTGAGGAAGGATGGCTCCAGAGGAAACTGATTTATGCTGCAGCCAAATCGCTCGCTCACAACTTTAATGCCAGTCACTCACAAAGTAGAATTTTTGCTCACACGATGCCACAGCTTAGAGGGACCATTGAACACGATATATATAGTGTAATGGCATAAGAATATAGCTTGAAAATATATATATGACAGAAACTTAAAAGATCAGTATAACGACTTATTTGATATATTCTACCATTTTCTCATACTATATTATCATATTATCTTATCGATTTTATCTGTTACATGGTATAGCACAAATAATCTTATTGGTCTTCAAGGTTGTCCTGGACTCGAATCTTGCTCTTTTACTGCAACCTAACATGGCTACCCATCTAAAACTGTCTTCCCCGATCTGGGACCTCGTCTCCGAGCAACAATAATCAGGCAGTAAATATGACAGAGAAAAAAATCCCTCCAGGCGTCAAAAGAGCAGATTTAATTTCGATGAGCTTAGTTCCTGTAGACGCAGGCCTTTTCATTTTCTCTTTTCTTTTTTCCCGTGCAGGAAGTCATAAAAGACTTTGAACGGAACATTTCCGACCTGGTCTCCATCTTCATAGAGAACGAGCAAGGGCTATATCCTTCCGGTGGCTGAAGAGCGGGCCTGCTTCACATCTGAATCACTCAAATCATTTGAGATTTCCAAGGTTCTCCCCTCCATTCTTGGAGGTTCAGACTGGAGGCTGAGAGCCAGTTTGGTGTCGTGGTTAAGTGCGCGGACTCTGATCTGGGAGAACCGGGTTTGATTCCCCACTCCTCCATGTGCAGCTGCTGGTGTGACCTTGGGTCAGTCACAAGTTCTCTCAGAGCTGTTCTCTCAAGAGCAGTCCTCAAAAGAGCTCTCTCAGCCCCACCTACCTCACAGGGTGCCTGTTGTGGGGAGGGGGAGGGAAAGAAGATTGTAAGCCACTCTGACTCCTTTGGGTACTGAAGGGTGGCGTATAAATCCATTCTCTTCTTCTGTGTATGGGTAAGGGCAAAGGTTAGTCTGAACGAGTCTCTTGAAAGACAGAGACAAGAGTGCCTGGGTTGCAGGTTACTAGACCTTTGCACCTCCCGCAACTGCTTTAGAGGCGTTTCTCGGAATACAAATGGGCTGATATTCGGAGGGGTTTTATGGAGAGAGGGGGCTACTCTGTGCTTTTGGCTGTTAATTTTATTTATTTTCCTCATTTATGCCACACCTTTCCCCCCAATAGGGACCCAAAGCAGCTTACATCCAGTGTTCCCTCTAAGCTGTGTAGTCCTGTGAGCAAGAATTATTTTTTGTGAGCTACTGGCATTAAAGTTGTGAGCAAGCGATTTGGCTACTGCATCAATTCGTTTGCTCTGGAGCCATCCTTCCTGAGCTAGGACAAAAATGTGTGAGCCGGAGGCTAAAAAACTGTGAGCTAGCTCACACTAACTCAGCTTAGAGGGAACACTGCTTACATCGCTCCCCTCTCCTCCATTTTATTCCCTGGGAAGTACGTCAGGCTGAGACTGTGACTGGCCCGAGGTCACCCAGTGCTTATGTCTGTGTTGTTAACGGTAGCTTTCTTGTTCAGTTCAGAGACCCCAGGGGATAACAAATGCAGAGAGAGGCAGAGCGTAATTGTTCTGACAGGAAAAAGGCAGGGCTGGGGAGTGTTGCAGCAGCCTTAGCCAAAATACAGAGTACCAGAGGGCTCTGCCAAGGCTTTCATTGCTGTTTACACTAGGGAGCCCTTTGCCTGTGCCTTGGTTTGTGCAAAGGCCTCCATTGTTGTTTACAGTAGGGAGCCCTTTGCCTGTGTTTTGGTTTGTGCAAAGGCCTCTATTGTTGACACTACAGAGCCATTTGCCTCTATCCTGGTTTGTGCCAAGGCCTCAATGGCTTTTGACACTAGGGAGTCTTTTCCCCGCGTCTTGGTTTGTGCCAAACTGAGTCCATGAATGAAGCCCATCTTGCTGGCCTTTCACCCAAACATGGTCTTTCTTAAAAACTAGATGCCAGCCAGGGCACAGAGTATGAAAGCCAGAGTTCTGCAGGCAGGGCTCTCAGCCTGGGCTTCCTCAATTTCCCCTGTTGGTTTCTTAACCTTTCCCCGTACAATGGCGCAGTGCCGGGATCTCGAGAATCACCACCACGAGAAGCTCCTAGAAATCGCCATCAACACGCTGGAGAAAATTGTAAAAAGCGAGCTCGAAGAAGAGATTCCAGACGACGTTCGGATGGTGAGACCTTCCCCACCCCCCTTCACCCTGCCCAAAGCTCTCCTGGTGCGGATCCCCAGAAAGCACCATTTGCTTTTAGTAAAGGTAAAGGTTTCCCTTGCTCGAAAGCCAGTCAAATCCAACTCTAGGGGTGCGGTGCTCATCTCCGTTTCCAAGCCGAAGAGCCAGCGCCGTCCGAAGACGTTTCCGTGGTCATGTGTCCGGCATGACTAAATGCCGAGGCGCATGGAACGCTTTTACCCAGAATAAAATCAGTACTTCCTCCCTCGCCCCCCCCCCACTTCCTAGCTCTTTGTGGACAAGGACACCATCGTCAACGCCGTCAACGCCTCGCACGACATCCACCTTCTGAAGATCGACAACCGGGAAGACGAGATCATCACCAAAGCCAACAGCTGGGCTTCCGCTCTGATAGAGAAGGTAGGTCAAGCCAGCAGTGCGAGGGTCCTCCCCAGACCTGTAGCTACAGTTGGGGCATTTCGGGGGCCCGGCCCCCTGACTTGCCACCGAGCGCCCCCCCCAACTCCCTGACTTATTGAAAGGCCTCCTGAATTAAAAATCCTGCCTATGGGCCCGGTCCTCCCTGAAGGACACTGACCGCGAGGGCATCCCCCTTGTTGCTTTGGAAGCAGTGGGGGAATTACAGCCTTGTGGAAGGAGGACCCCTCCTCCCGTCTGGCTCACCTTTGGGGTCCCCAAGGAGCATCCCCCGAGTGGGCTGAGGATGAAACCGCCCCAGAGCCGCCACGCTCAGTCTCTCCCCCCCCGCAGGTTCACAAAAGTGAAATCACGAGGAACCGCAACCGCGTGAAGGAGATCAACCAGTTCATCGACCACCTCCACAACGAGCTGGAGACCATGGACATTATGGAAGCGTAGCCCACTCTCCCCGCCGCTGTTTGCCGCCGCTTCCCTGGTTCTGGACACGGGGCTCTCCGACAGCTAGGAAAGGAACCCGCCGGAAGGTCTCGTTTCACAACCCACTGAAAATGCTCCTCTCCCCCGAACAACGGAGATGTAGCCCAGTGGAAGGGGGCAGAAGAATCAGCCCCCAAAGCCTTTAATGATCAAAATGACTACATTTAAAAAAAAACAAACCCAGCCTGCATGGAAATTTGAGAGGAACTGCAGCTCTCAGATGAAACAGGTGCTGTGATCACAAACCATTTAAATGCCCACAGGGACTCCACCGCCACCCCTGCTGCACTTCTTCACGCACATCACAAAAAGGGGGGACATCGACAGGATCAGCTAAGCACCGTGTTTGACCAATGACACAAAGGCAACTCACACCAGAAGGTTTGTAGGGAACCGAAAAGTAACAGCCACTCTGTGGGGACGGAACGTAGAGCCCTGTGGGTGCAAAGCCACGCTCTGGCATGGGAATCAACCCGTTGTGAAGCTCTCATTAAAGTATATATAGACAAAATGTTGGCTGTGGCAAAACAGCAGCGTTTACTCCAGTTCGGGGGAGGCAGAGTCACTGTGGCTGTGCTGCGAGAACGTTTTAGCAGGCTTCAGGGGCCTGCGGCAGAGCCGGGGTAGGACCTATCTGCAGGGGTCAGGAGGGAAGGGGCGAGGGAGGGCAGGAAGAGCCCACTCCCACCCCAGAACTGGGAGAGAACCTCCAGCCAACTGTAAATCTCCAAAAGGCTTTAGAGAACGCAAATTCGGCCACACCTCAATTCGCATTCTCAATGACCGAACGGGTATTTTGATACTCGCAGCGAAGCTGTCCCCAGGTAAGACAGAGGAGCCAATTTGGTTCCTGATGAAGCTGGGACTGCCCACCGTTTCCCAAAACGAGACAGGACTCCATGGCTCGCAGGGAGGTTGGGGCAAGGTCCATGCAGAAGGCCCCGGTACTTGGAACACCCTCGGCCTTTCACCCAAGACCACTGGAGAAATAGACGCAGGCGACACTGTGAGTGCTGCCTGGCGCAGGCCCACGGGGAGAATCAAGACCAGGCTATGGTGCGCCGCTAGCCCTTGAGTCCTGGTTTCAGCGCTGCTGGCTGCCCCACTCGGTCAGTCAGTCTGATCGGGGGCCCTTCTCCCTCTGCCCCTCCCCAGCCTCAGTCCTGCATCAGCTTGTGCTTGATGGTGGAGCTCTCCGAGCACAGGTGAACGAACAGGGTGGCAGCGGCCGTGCGGGCACGCAGCTCATAGGCGTCGTAGTCATGGGCCCACTCCACGGTCCCCCAGTGCTGGATCTGAGGAAAAGAGAAATAGACAAAACGGGATGTGAGAAGAATCGTTCCTCGTGCCCTTCTCCGGGGTGTGTGTGTGTGTATTGATTCTCCAGTTGGGACCTTGCCCTCCCCTTCGAGAAGATTCACTGTTCTCAAAAATACCCGAGTCCGGGAGTACCGCTGAGACCGACCAGAAATTTTGGGGGCAGCAGCTTTCGAGAGTTTGTGCTCTCTTAGTCGGACCCCTTGAGTTTTCACTGTTGAAAGCACACACCCTGAAACACTTGTTGGTCTCTCAGGCGCTCCTGGACTTGAATCCGGCTGTTCTACTGTGGACCAACGTGGCTGCCCTCTGGAAAAAATTCTCAAGAAACGTGACTGATCTGGAGGGCCAGCAACAGGGCAAAGAGGCCAAGGCCTTCTCCTGAGAAGAACATCAGGAGAGCCCTGCTGTGTCAGACCAGTGGGGGTCCATCCACTCCAGCATCTCGTCTCACACAGGGGCCAACCAGTTCCTCTGGAGAGGACCAACAACAGGGCAGGGAGGCTGAGGCCTTCCCCTGATGTTGCCTCCTGGCTCTGGGATTCAGAGGCTTAGTGCCTCTGACTGTGGAGGTTCCCCTCCATCACGATGGCTAGTAGCCACTGATCAACCTCTCCTCCATGAATCTTTCTAATCCCCTTTGAAAGCTGTTTATTCCTGTGGCCATCACTACATCCTTTGGCAGCGAATTCTACCTTTTAATCACTGTCTATGTAAAGTAGTATTTCCTTTTGTCTGTCCTAAGCCTACTGCCCATCAGCTTCATTGGGTGCCCTCAAATTCTAGTCTTTCGAGAGAGAAAGAAAAATTTCTCTGTCAGCTCTCTCCACCCCATGCATAATTTTCTACACCTCTATCACGTCCCCCCGTAGCCGTCTCCTTCCTAAACTTAAAAGTCCCAGACTCTTCAGCCTTTCCTCCTAGGGAAAGTGCTCCATCCCCCTTGGGAGAAGCATTTCTGTACTGGAAACCCCTTGGTCCTTTTCTTCTCGTGCGCCATGCCGTAGCCCTTCCACACACTGGCTGAAAGTGCTGAGTGGGAGACGGAGATGTAAAATTTCCGGAAATTTTGAAGCTCGGAAAAAAACCCCGTTTCGCCCCAGTTTTTTTCGGGGGGAAATTGAAATTTTCTGAAAAATTGAAAAATGATACATTAGCACTTCCTTTTTCTTTTCCAGATTGAAAGTCGTTCTGTTACTTTAGGAACATAAAATATGACTATGGGCATTTTTACTTGGCATGAAGTTATCACAACTAGTATATTAAAAATATAGTGTATCCAAACAATTATGACAAACAGAATACCCACCCACATGCAAAAACAAAACCGAAACCTTTTTCTTTTCTTGTGACAGTAGCACCTCCTAAAGGAAGAAATGCATCTTGTTCTTGCATGGGAGAGTTCAGTTTGTAACCTAGGACTTGCTTGTCCTCAGTGCACAGAAATTAGATCAATCTGATACCATACGTAATTTTTACAAATGATTTGGAAAATATTTGAACACCTTGCCTTAAAATATTTTATTCATCATGTTAAAATAAAAGGTTCCATAATAAAAAAAAATTCTTTTCTTCTTTCAATTTTTCCAATTTTTCGGAAAAAAACAAAAAAAGGCTTCAGGAAAAAATTGGGAAAAACCGGTTTCCCCCCGGAATTTTTCCGTTTCCCCCCCAGGCTTTCACATCTCTAGAGCGGGCCCTGCGTTTCCCCCCCCCCCCCCCGGCCTCTCCATGATCACCAGTTCGCAAGCACAGTGCCTACATAGTATTCCCTTCCGTGTGGCTGGGGCCACTGCTTCCCAAGCCTTGCTGGCCACAGGAGGAGAAATATCTCTGCACGTTGGCACCATGCTCAACAGCCAGCAGTCATGCAGTCGGGGGGGGGGGGCAGCACCAGTGCATTCATATCCTTTCTTTCTCTCTCTTTCTGTCTGGATGTTCAGTCAGCTCACAGAACAGTCGATGAAACTGAGAGCACTCCATGAAATTGCTGAGCAGTCGGGTTAGAATGGATAAAAGGAAGCCCTTCTTCACCCAAAGAGTGATTAGCACATGCAATTCACTGCCACAGGAGGTGGTGGCAGCGACAAGCATAGACGGCTTCAAGAGGGAATTGGATAAACATCTGGGGCAGAGGTCCATCAAGGCAGAGATAGGAACTCTTGGTCTGGGTCAAGGGTTGCTCCGTATTCTTGGTGCTTGGGGGGGGGGGGGGGGACAGA